TACCGCTAAGACTGAAAGGAAAATTTTATAAGACGGTGGTGAGACCTGCAATGCTCTATGGCACTGAATGTTGGCCTTTAAAAGAGAAGCATAATACTAAGTTAAGCGTTGCCGAGATGAGAATGCTTAGGTGGATGAGTGACTTTACACTTAGAGACAAAATGCGGAATGAATATATTTGTGATAGGGTTGATGTAGCTCCTGTGACAGGCAAAATTAGAGAAAGTCATCTTAGATGGTTTGGTCATATTAAACGTCGACCATTAGATGATCCGATTAGGAGAGTAGATGTTTTAAATTCGACTTGTGTTAAGAAAGGTAGAGGTAGACCTAGGAAAACTTGGGCTTATTGTATTAAAAATGATCTTAATTTACTAGAACTACATGGAAATATGACACTAAATAGGAAGCAATGGAGAAAAAGGATTCATGTAGCCGACCCCACGTAGTGGGATTAAGGCTTTGTTGTTGTTGTTGTTGTTGTTGTATATGGTCCAATTGGCACTTAACAGGCTTATGTATTTTTTTTGTTTGTACCACCATGGAAAGACATTAATGCCTAGAGTATAGTGATTTGGTGCACACAAAGAATACTCTGATCTTCAATATTGCTCTGTCTCTTGTGATTTTGAATGTTGAAGCATCTTGGCCATGTAGCATTGTTGTTATTCAGGAATCAAATACAACACCCAAACTTAGCTAAAATAAATCCTGAATGTTTTATATATAGGCCTATGAATATATTCTAAGATGTATAGAAGTCTATTGACCTGATTCTAAGTAAATAGTCCTAAATTAGCAAATATGGAGTGAAATTATTCCATAGGGTTTCATGTCCTACTGGTTTCATTGATAATGAAGTCATCAATTGTACTCCTCTCTATATGATGTTGATGATATTGCGTACTATCTCCATCCTATGTACCGCGAATTATATGACACTTTCATTATTGTTATAGTGAACTAAATAATGAATGAGAATTCTCTTGTGATTGCACATACCAATTTATACATTGTTGTCATTTGATATATATCCAGCAATTAAGATTAATCAAAGGTGAGTGATAGTTTACAAACTCCATTTTCATTTTACCTCTAATTGGCCTGAATTCAATTTCTATATACTTTTCTTCCTAAAATCCTTAACAATATAAAAATTATTTAAAATTACCCATTTTGCTCAATAGACCCATGTAATTATGTCAAGGTTTAAAATGATTATAGCTCATTGATCTTAAGTTCTAAAAATCTAAAAATTCAAAGTGTTATTTAGAACCAAAGGAACCTATAGTTTTAGTTAAGTAACCATGGATTTCATATGTACCATTATGAACATTTAAACCCTACTTTGGAAAGCTACAATCATTAAAAACTATAAATTTGTTTGGTGGTTTATCTCGACATCCGTAATCAACCCCGAGTAACTCTAAGGGTGTTAGCTTAACCCTACAAGACCCAATCAACCCTGATCAAGATTAGGGCTTCGACTCATTTTGTCCCAATAGACCCTAGACTACCTAGTAGGCTTCTTGCCCTATGCTTGACCTACCTTAGCTAGTGTAACTAGTCTAGTTGCGCGTGGGCACACGCACAGACATAGACTGAAAGAAAAACAAGCATTAAAAATTGTCAAAATGGTGCCCTTTTCTGTTGTACAATGCAAGTTAAATAACTACCAACAAAAGATCTGACAACAAAATAATGCCTGAATATCTGCCTAATAATATACTCTTTAATCTCCAAATATAGTCCAAAACATACATGAAATCCATCAGAAATCCCTCATCGTCTCTACATTTGAAGCCTTATCCTTCTCCACCTGTATGGTCACATGACTGATACTGAACTCCTTTCTAATGTACCCAATCACCTGATCAAGAACATTCTCAGGATCAGCTTCAGGTTTGATTGTAACATGGCAAGCCAACAGAACCTTGCCAATGGTGATGGCCCATATGTGCAACTCATGAACCGCCACCACTCCCTCCACCTCACACATTCCTTTCTCTAGCTTCGTGGCATCGATTTCTCTCGGAGTTCGTTCCATGAGCACGGAGAGTATGTTCCTCAGCATGTTCACCGTCGTGATCAGCACGATGAAGGAAAACATCAGCGTGCAAAGCAGATCCACTATTTTCCACTCCGGCTTCAGCCATATGATTCCGCCGCCGATCATCACCCCGATGCTCTGGATCGAGTCCCCCAGCACATGAAGATATGCGCTCCGGACATTAATGCTCTGCTTCCTTCGCTCCGGCGTTCGCTCATCGTTTTCATCCGTTATGTCGATGTCAATGCTGCGGCTGTCTTGTTCGCCGTGCTCATGGCCATGACTTCCATGACTGTGGCTATGGCCATGACCTCCATGACTGTGGCTATGGCCGCCATGATTATGGCCGAGCAAGACGGCCATAATAATGTTAACAAGCAATCCGAAGGCTGCAACAGCGAACATCAACTTGCCATGAACGAAATTCGTTCCATGAATCAATCTCATCACTGCTTCATACAATATAATTCCGGTTAAAAGCCATATAAGCTGGATGGAAACCAACGCGCCGAGAATTTCGATTCGGTAAAACCCGTAGGATTGACGAGGGGTTGCTTCCCATCCCGCAGCCCAGATCGAGAACAGGGAAATCGCGAAAGCTGCAATGTCGGATAGGAGATGAGCTGCATCTGTGAGAATGGCGAGGCTGTTGGCTTTGATTCCTCCAACGACTTCCACGCACATGAATATCATGCAAAGAAGAACAGCTATAAACAACTTTCTTATGGAAGCTGACCTCTCCTTGGCATCTTTAGAGTGGCTTCCTGAATCAGATAAGCCGCAGGTAGGCCCCCCACAAGTCTTGATGTCTGCAGATGTTGTCGTTGCTGCCGGCAGCGCTTCACCGATTTCGGCGGCCGGAGATTGCTGCGAGCTATGTGCTTCCATCTGCAGAGCAGTTGGAAAGAAGATATCAGGATTAATATTGATGAAACTGTAGATAACAAAGGAAGAGTGGAAGAAAGTATGGCATGACTGATTACATTTAGCTGATGCTATCATTTGAGTAAATTTCTTATTTTTATGCTAAAATTTGAACCTTTAGGCCTACTGAGAATAACAGATCCCCAAAATAGTAGTTAATGACACCATCTCCTTTCATAACATCCATTTATGAACCAAAGTTAAGTCATTGGTTGCATCTTCACCATTCATTCCAGTTCCAGGATCATTTCCTACTACTCACAACATGTATAAACTATATTATGAATTTTAGGAAAGCTCCAAAGCTACTATACTTTCTCTGGCTTAGGGATAATGAGAACAAGCATGCAACATAAGGAAATTTAGGTATTTTAAGAAGCAAGATAATGTCATGACAGCTGCACAAATGTAAGAATCAAACTTGACATAGTACTTTTTATAAAAAAAAAAAATCTTTTTTTTTTTTCATTTTGTTTTGTTTATGTTTTATTTTGAATTAAAACATATTTGGTAGTAATAGTTATTTTTAAAAAAAATTCAAAAAACTTTTATGTGTGCTGAGTTTTTTTAAAAATAAGTTGATTTGTTTATAAAAATAAGAAAATAAAAATATACAAAAATTATACAAATCAAACCTGTTTTAAAAAACAAAAGTAGAAATGAAAACAAAAACATAAAACAAAAGTGATGTCAAAGGGGCCCTTAATGAAGTAGATCTCTATAGCTCATGAAAAATAACCACAACTAGCTTTGGGTGTTAGAAATAACTATAAAAGAATCCGCATCAATCATGCAAAACAACTAATTAGAATTACTCCACACGAACCCTTCTTCTCCTTCCTCATGTGACTGGCCAAAAGAAAGAAAAAGTCTCAAAATTACATGGTAGATAAATTGAAGGATCAAATATGACTAATACAGTGTTTGGCTGCACAAATAGGATTCCTTAAATCCAGTAAATCCGGATTTATCAAATGAAAAGATTAAAAATCAAAGAAAACCCTAAAAAATGGCAAAACAAATCCTTATCAAACATGAACTGGATCAAATCAACCCAAACTCTCAATCCAGAAAGCAACATTTCTCATCCATAAACATCCAGATTAAGCACAAATAACATCAGAACCATCATCTGCGACTGACAGTAACAAAAACGCAAAAAGAAAAAGATAAAAAAAAAAAGCTTGATCAGCGCCGTAGAAAAGAAGGAACTCCATTTCCAAAAAGCAAATAATAAAAAAAAGGGTAAAAAAAAGAAAAATGCTGCAAATTGCAAGAAACAAAAGATTCAAAGCATTCAAAAGTAGCAAAACGAGAAAAAAAAGGCAGAATTTTTAGGTACCTGGAAGGTGCGCAGACAGTGTTCCTGCTCGCCAGAAGAATGTGGAGCCGAAGAAGGAAAGGAGGATTTTTATAACTGCAGTGGGGGCAAGGGGAAAGTGAGAGTATGCGGTACGGAGATGCAGAATAAAGAGGCGGGAGCGTAGGCGGCAGTGAAAAATAAATAAAAAATAAATAAATAATAAAATTTGGTAGCATCTTAAAAAATAATTGTCATTTATATTTATTTAATGCCAAAATATGGAAGAAAATATTCAATTTAAAAATTATATTTCTAATTTGGGTCATTTAAATACATAGGACTAAATATTTATGCATGTCACTCAAATCTTTTAACATTACATAAAAAATATCAATAATTTAATAAGTTTTTGTGTATAGATTTATGGCGCTGAGTGTTATAAGTGTAAATATTAAATATTGGGTATTAGATATGTAAATATATAAGAATTGTGCGGTATATATACAAATTTCTCTAATTTAAAAAAATTATTTATATTACAAGATGTTACAATTTTTTTATTTATTGAGGCAATTAAATCATGTAACCTAATTTGTATGACAAATCTTAGATCTAGTTAAATTAAATTATTTTGCAACCTATTTTATCAATTAAATAGGGGTTTAATATATATATATATATATTTAAATACACAATAAATGTGGGTTATGCATGTAAATTTTCCATTTATAAACAGCCTCAGATAACACTCATTTTCAATATTCTTTAAAAACCAATTCGGGTCTTCTGTAAATGTTTATAATATATATATATATATATATAACGTATGTTTAAGAAAAATGCTTGGATAGGGGAGGATTCAATTGATGAGTTTTATTATCGATCATTCTACAACTTATATGTACACTACCAATTTATGAGAGATATCCGGGAGGACGAGAGTGAAGAAGATGTTTGAACTTAATCTATGCACATAACGTTCGTTTGTTTTAGTTGTTTGATGTGTTGGATTGCATTTAATTTTATTGTTGAACTATATCGATGTTCGTGTTTGCTATTTTGATGTTTAGATTTCAATGTCAGGATGTTTTGGTTTTCTTTAAACACTAAAATAGATGTTTGTTGTCTTTATAAATGTTAGTTTGTAATAACGTGGATTATATATATAAAAGTGAGTTTTGTGTTGTTTGTGAAATATTGATGTTAGAGTAATGTTTAATCATACTTTTAATATATATATATATATATAACTTAAAGCTTAATATTTTTATCCATACTACTTTGGTGTTATAAGTCTATGTATGAAGTTAAACTTCTACATTTAAGAAAACAATAAAAGTGATATTTTCTTTGTAATGTTAAATATTTAAATGTTTTGGACGTAAATATGAAATTTTATATATTAGATGGGCAAATGTGTCAGAATTTTGTGATATATGGCCTATTTTGCAGAAAAGTTGGCTGCCAAAAGCCCAAAAGATGCATAGAGGATTAAAGTGCTTTTCCATGCAACGAATTTAAAAGATGCTTGTAATTAAACTAGAAATAAACAGAAGGAATTTCCATTTTCATTTCATTTTTTTTTTATATAAACTTAAGAATGATTTGCGTTTTTTAGAAAATGCAAATTTTATTTTATTTTTTGTTTTTCAATCAATTTTTTCCTTTTTTTTAATAAAAATACAAGCTTAATTAGCATTTGCAATGATTTATTTTTTTGAAAATTTTAAGTACATTAAAATGTTTTTAATTCTTATTTATTTTTAAAATGGTGAAATATATCAAAAAGTTATTTATTATTTTTTATTTCTTATAATAGTTGTTTAGTATTTTTATCTCAATTGAATTGAAAAAGAATATATAAGAGAACGAGAAAAATTACACCAGAAAATAGTTAAACAACAGAACACAAATTTACGTGGTTCGGTAAGTTGCTTACGTTCACGGAGTTGCAGAGGATTTTACTACTTGAAGAATTTACACCAGTCGATCACCTCGACTTATAAGAGGAATCTCTCACTCTTCGTTGCTCATTTTTCTTCTTCTCTCTCTGTTCTTCTCTTTATACCGAGATACACCGAAGAAAACTCTACACCGAGATACACCGAATAAGACAAACTTATAAGAGAAATAAAATTCAATTTCTCTTCTACCACAATTCACCAAGAAGAAGCATAGGGAGAAAAATCTGCTTCTTCTTCCTTCTTCTTCCTTTTGCCGCAATGAACTACTTCTTGCACTTCTTTTCCTCTGCCCTGAAGAATCTTCCTCTATCCCGAAGAAAATCGAAGAAGAAAGCTAAAAAGCTCGTTGTTCGCGAACAGTTCATGTTCGGTTTGTCAATGAGTTCGAGTTCGATTCGAGTTCGATTCGTTCGATAAGTAAACGAGACGAACGTGAACACTTTTAATAAATTTTTTTCGTTCGGTTAGTTAAACGAACCAAACACGAACAGAAATGATTTCGTTCGTGTTCAAATCGTTATTGTTTGAAATATTAAATAATTTAAAATAATTATATATAAAAAAATTATGATATTTTAAAAAATTAAATTTTATAAATTATAATATATAATAAATTAATAATAATATATTAATATACTATATTAGTAATATACTAATATAGATATTATATATTTTTATAATATAAGTATTATAATTAATATAATATATTATTTATATATATTAATACTAGGGATGTCAAACTCGCTCGTCATTCGCGAACAGCTCGTGTTCGGCTCGTTCGTTAAGAAACGAACACAAACAGTAACTTTACTAATAATTCCGAACGCGAGCTTATTTCATACAAACTAAATTTCAAACCAACCGAAACGATATTCGGTTCATTTACACCCCTATCTGTAGTTGTTTAGATATATAAAAACATCGAAATTGGGCAGTAAATGTACGTAAATATTTTTGTTTAAAAATATATTTTTATATTATTTTAATAGTTTTATATATATTTTTAACTAAAATAAACAAACGTGCTATCGCCTGTCGGACTTGGTCGACTGCTGATCGCATGTGGACGTAGACGGATTCCGTTGGCCTCCACAAGGATCCACACCTAACGTATTTAAAATAAGATGATTTTTTCTTAAATTCGATTCCATTTAATATAGATATTATAGTTTATGTGTATGACGCATTGTAGTCTAATCTACTAAAAATAATACTTATATCCTGTTTTTGTTGAGAAATGTGAAAGCGAATGTCTTTTTGTTAGCCTCATCTTTTGTGAACCACGGAGGCTCTTTGTGCGGATTCCAGTAATATGACACTAATAAACTATCGAGTATTACTTAATTTTTTGGGACCTTCACACAAAATAAATGTTATTTGGGGACCTTTATATATAAAAAGTTCATGAAATGAATATTACAAAGCAACACAAAGACACAAAGAACTGAATTACGATACAATAACATATAATCAACCAGAAAAGAGACAAATACAATAAAACTATTAACATAAATGAACAAAGCACCTAATCAGAAACATCAAAGAAGCTAATAAATGATCTGGCTTCGACAGGTGGAAGAAGGAACACTTTTAGAAAACACCAAGAAAGGATATCCCAACAAGCTTATTAAGGCTTAGTCAGGACCAAAAAACTACAAGTAGCAGCATCCTCCTGAAAACAGTCATAATAGAGCCCAACACTAGCACTAAAAATCAATATCAACTCCATGAGAAAGAATAAAAAAATTCTTCAACAAGCTCAACAAGTCTCAACCAGGATCAAATAAACTTTAAATTAAATAAACCACTAAAAGAAGAGAAAAAATCAGAAGGTCCAACCATAACATCAGCTATGGACATGTCCCAAAGAACAAGCAACATAGATTAAATCTCCAATGCTGAAGGTAGAAATCATGTCCAACAATAGAGAAAGAGCTACAGATCCATAAGCGTTTCCAAGAGAAAATGTAGCAAATATTGAAAAATATGTAAATCAACAACACTAGAAAGCAATAAAAAATTTCTAAAACAAAGAAACTCAAGGTCTCACACTATGAAGAGCTCAGCTAAACCCAACATCAATACAAAAAAAAAACTCCATCCAACTCTTTAAAGAGAATACCTGAAATATCAAAATATAATTAAGTGCAGAAATACTTTAAGAGTTGCATTCAAAAGATAAGAATTCCATCCATCTTCAAAGAAGTAAAATAATTGCCAATACAAAGAAGAAGATACTATAATAAAAACCCTAAAAACGGTTTAATTTCAGTATAAGTATTGGGCACATTATAGCTCAAAACCAACAAATTGGCTTGAAAAGACATGATTGAAAGACAAGTAAAAAAAAAAGAAAATATGAGAAAATAGAAGAAAGTCCAAAAGAATTAGAGATTATAAAAATCTCTAATACAATGATTAATGCCATTTTTAAATTTCCTCCTCCTACCCTTAAACTTTACCATCTAACGAATATTCTTAATAATAATTTCAAGAGGAGTGTAAGAATTCTTAAAAATGACATTATCTTTGTAAATCTAAATGTGAAAAGCAATGACTTGAAAAACAAAGAGAAAAATTTTTTTAGTAACCTTACAAATATTATCTTTTGCATGATACAAAACTTTAAAAGAAAATATTAGGAATAACAAAGAAATCTTCATTAGGAATACAAAGCTTTTCTTCATTGGATGAATATTGATGTATTTATGATCGAAGCATGGATTTTTCTTGAACATCTACTTGCTTAACAAATTTAATCTCATTAAACCTTTTACGCGATTTTGCACCCCATTGTACAATATGGATAATCATTGTTGCATTATCTGCATGTTTATTACCATGTACTTGCACATTTGTGGCTTTATAGTTTATACTACACCAAATTCTCATACAAAGTTTTTTGTGCACCTTTGTGAGGTTAATCCGGTCGTGGTCGAGACATCAAGTAGTCATGAAGCTACCCATAGACTAACAAAATGGATGACATCAAACTTTGTGTTGGTGAGATATATCCAAAACCACTCGAGTTGTATTTTAAAATCAATCCTAACTTTTATATTCTTAATTTAAAACATTAAAATTTATAAAGATTCAAACTCAAATGATAATTAATCAACAAAATAACAAAGAATTAATAAAATTAGAATGATTCAAGGTAACTAAAAGAATATTTGCTACTTTCCCAAAATTATAAGTATGCCCTTTTCACTACCAAACATAACAAACAAAATCATCAACATTTAAAACTTCAGCCAACTAGTTCAGAACACTTAATAAGTCAAAACATAATATAATAAATAACTTTCAAAATCAAGATGAAATGATTTAAATCAGAAACAATAAATTTACAAATATGTCCGTTGTGAACTAGAAACTTAAGAATTTCATTGCGATTTTAATCCAACTCAATTCAAATCCAAAAATATCTAAGCAAAACAACAAATGAAGACACAATTAAGAGGTTAAATAAAACTCATAAATCACTAAAACATAAAATTAACTATAACATACAAGTCATTATGGGTGTATTGTTGCCTCGTGTTGTGCTCACTTGTTGTTAGTTGCTGCCCAATGCTTCTTTCAGACCTTTGTAATACTCATTTTTTCTCAATCAACTATTTCCTGACCCTTTATGATTCTTTTAATTACATAATACATCTCTCATATTTTTGAGAGATTGTATCAAACACTTTATTAATGATTTTGTTACCTTTGTTTTTTGGTAGATGTATTTTATCTCTTTTATGATTATTTATTTTGTTGTCATTGTAATATATCTTTTTTGGGATATCAGCTGATTCTATGTACCTCTTTATTGTCTTATTTGTATCACTTTTATATTTACTTTGAGAATTGTACTATTATTTTAACTTTGTTTTGCATGTTGGCCCTATTTTTTTTGACCATTGGTGATGCTTTTGGATTTTCTCCCTATGTATATATTTGAGGGCGAAAGGGAAACATGTCCCAAGATTGGACTTCTATTTGTCATCATTGGCTCATTCTCATTTTATAACTTTCATTCCACTCTTCCCATTCAATACTCACACACTCAGCATTTCATACTCAACTATCTTCATCTGACTCATGAAAGACTGGACTGATGTCGTTGGGCTCGATCGTTTTTTATTTCTTTTATCTTTATTTGTGCGGGCCTTATCCTTCGGTAGGCCTCAGCCGAGTCCTCTAACGAACTTGGGTTGGGGAAGAGGCCCGGTAGGCCGATCCATGTTTATGCTAGATTGACTAATAACTTTTGATATTACAACACATATTTAAAATTAAGATACTAGACTTCTATATAATGATATTATAATTAATATAATTCGAATCAATATTATTATTATTATATAACAAATGCTGAACCATGTTAAAGATATTTAAGTTTTCTGTTCCAAACAATTTTAATATTTTAAGATATTTTTTATCTCATGCAAAATCCCGGGGAAGGAATAGATCGATCCATCTTGTTCTTCCTTCGTCCACATTTTTTTCTTGGTCAGTTCTCTTCCTCTATTATCTTCGACCGGAAACCCTAATTGGTTGATCGCGAGGGAGCATTCAGCGATCCGCTTTTTGACGAAGATGACGTCGACGAGCTCATGGTCGCGGGCTTTGACGCAGATCTCGCCTTACACGTTTGCATCGATTGGTATTGCCATATCCATCGGCGTTTCAGTGCTTGGTGCCGCTTGGTAACCATTTTTGCTGTCGTGCCGTCTCCCTTGAGTTCTGCTGCCTTTCCTGTGGCAATTTGCGACGGTAATAATTCTGTTTTCTTCTTCTTTATTAACTATTTCAGGGGAATTTACATCACTGGAAGCAGTTTGATTGGTGCTGCTATTAAGGCTCCGAGAATTACCTCTAAGAATCTTATTAGGTATGTGACGTGTCTCATATGCCTAATTATTTTCTATCAGGCATGTTAAATTGTTGATTGTTTGGCTGATGGAATTCGAGTTCTGCCTTATGGTGACGATGGCGGTTAGAGCTGTAAATTCTTAGTTATAATTGGCTCATACTACCAATTATATCAAATTATCACTTGTGTATGAACCTTAGCTTGCGGTACCCTGGAATGCTATCAAATATTTAGAGGCTACGTGGTTATCTGATATTTTGAGTAAATTTTAATGTTATTAATATGGTTAATTATCTGGTTTGATGTTTTCCTTAGATTAAGACAGTCTAGATTGCAGCTTTAACTGTTATTGTGCATCTTTCTTTTGGCCAAAGTGGCGAAGTTTCAGATTGTGTTGATTTGAACTACATGTGAAAGTAAGAGAGTGCAGTAATACTACACAATTATTAGGATCAAGATTTGAAATTGCACAATTAGGTATTTAGGATTTTTTTTTTTGCGAGATGAGCGACACATAAGGCATTTTGAGTTGTGTGCCTCTAAATTTAATTATTAAATTAATGAAAATTTTGAAAAACTGAGTAACATGCTAATATCAATTTAAGGCATCGAAGTAAGATCATAAAAAGTTAAAGTAGGATAAAAAAATGTCGCGCTATTTTAAACATTACATAATGAATTTCTCTCAATCCCAATTCACCATAAAGTAGTATTTAAATGACTCATGCTCTCATTATTTAGAGGGTTTTCACTAGGATCGTCATTGTACTTAATTATTTTTTCATATTTCTCATCATTTGTTGCATCAACATTTTTTGAAGATTTATCATCTTCAATTTCAAACATCATTTTCTTCAAACATCATTTTCTTTCTTATTCATTTAAAATTAATAATGATATTACTTAATTTCAGAATAATTATTATATTTTTAATTTCAAAATTTTCAGCATAAATTTTTATACGAACCTTTTTTATTTCTTTCTTGTTGTCATGTGCTAATCTTATTTTTCCCTCCATAAAAAGTAACAATATTGAGATTTTCCTCTTATAAATATGATGTTGTAACTTTGTTTTTGTCTACCGCAAATCATTTGTCTTCTAATGACATTGAACTACTTACGAATTTTTATCGTCATTCAAACCTTACCCTCAATTAAATTTCTATCTCTCAATCTTTTGTTATACATAACACAAACCAATGAACTTTTTCTTAAGGTACTTAAATGATTTTTTCTCGTGGTCTAAACTTAATAATAATTATTTGTCAAGCATATAAGGTACAAAAAATTGATTGTAAATGTTAGCAGTCTAGGTGTGCTATCTCCAAACTTGACTCACCACTGAACTAATTTTAAGAAAAGTAATGACCCTCATATGTAAATTATATCTAGCTTTACTAATCATTGTTAAACGTTAGTGCCAATATATTGTTTACTAGGCAAATGCTGTGCTATTGTATCTTTGAATTGTTGTAATCTAAGGAATCCTTTTTGTTTTTTGAAGCTATAAGTTAAAGATCAGTCTTCCTCTAATAAATATTTTTTAGTTTTTTTTTTTTTGAAAGCCATAGGTTAAAAGATAGTCTTCCTCTTATTTGTTATGCTAGCTATCATTATATTCATACAATGGTTAAATTTGATCCCTAGATTGATGGAATTATTTTCATCAAATTGAGATTGATGGTTCAGATAATATTGACTCATTGATACAATTGAAACTCCTTTTTCAGCCAAGTTTTGGCACTTAAATTTTTTTAAATTAGGCTAGGTAAGAAGGAAGGAGAATATGAAATATATAAAATTTTTGAGGGACAACAAATATGATCTTGGGGTTTCTGTTAGGTTGGGTATGTTAAAAATGAATGAATTTGGGTCATAGTTGATAATAAATATATTAATAAACATGCAAATATTTTTTTTTCCTAGAAGATTTAATTATGAGCCTCAAAGAATATATGTTTACAAGAAGATAAATTGTGTAGTTTCTTAAAGGTAACCTACAGATTTCTAAGAAATTCATAGAGGAAATTTCATAGTCGGAGTTCATATATATTTACAAAGATTTTTGGAGTTTGTGAGATATTATAATAGTTTGATTTCAGATATCTTTGCTGATACCGGAAACTAGGTGTAACTTATTGGACAATGTACATTTTGATTCCTTACTGTTAGAACTAGGGATCTGCAAGATTGTAGTGAGTATAGGGAAATCAATTTATCCGTTATTACATTGAAGTTACATTTGAGGTTTAAAACTTTAGCTTAGGAAAATTATTTAGTTGTTGGAGAATCGAAGTCTTCATGCTCCAATTAAATGATATATGCACAAGCAGAGAACATTGACAATAGCCTCATATTTCGTGTCCTGAATATGAAAAGGTTATTTTGCCGAGTTAACTGGTGGGTACTTACGGGACTGCGTTTTGAATGTATGTTGAGTTTATATTTGAAATGTTTTATAATTGATTAGAGACTATAGTTGCAAGGAAGCCATTTAAGTTTCTTATCACAATAGTTTATTTCGCCAAGTATCAACATTGTGTTTGTATTTTTGCTGTGTTAGTTTTTGAAATGCTTGAAAAATACATGCAAATTGTGGCCAAATGATGTATAATTTTGTTAGATGTGAAATTGATATATCAATCGATAATTCAATGTTATTGGAATGCCAAATGACACCTTAGTGTAATATAATTACTTTTCTTGGATCTATCAAACAAAAAAGTTTGATGCATATGTTGACACAACTTCTAGGATAAAACTTTGTTGATTAAAATGAAGAAGTGCTTTAGAAGTATTATTAGATAATGATGTTGGAATTTATAAAATCTATTCCAAATAGTCGGGATAAAGTTTTTGATGATGAGAATTCATATGAATAAATTGATACTTGTGTACATATGTTCAATTGTAGGCAATATTTATTGGAGTGTTTTGCTGTTATTTTATTTTCTAATTTTGTTTTAAGCTTATGATGATGCAACTGCGGTGGTGTTAAATTGATGGATGGGGACATCAACAAGTTGTGTGCGGTGATGTCTTAATATAAAACAAAAAACTTACCTACTTGTTGTCCTTTAATTATAAATGAAGATTAAGGCTCAATTTGGGTTGCCAACTCTCATTAACCCACCAGAATTGCCGCTTGGGAGTGTGGGAGTCATATGAAATACTTTTTTTTCTAAAAGGATATGCTTTCAGAAGCTTAAAGTACAAAGGGTATTTCGCTTGATGCTAACTAATTATCATTTAGCATGGTTAATAATTCTCCTTTGCCTTACAAAGGATTGCCATGATTCATTATCATTACATCAAATGGTTGGGATCCTTGCCTCTTCTCCATTGATATTATTATTTTGTACTGGTTATTTTCCATATCAATGAAGAGGATCTGACAAAAAAGGTTACAATCCCTTTCTGAACCCTGTTTTGTATCTACTGTTGCAGATTGTGTTCCTTATCTAAGCTGGTTGCTTAAACATTTATTGTTTTTTGTGAATTAAGTTCTTGCCAATTAATGTTTATTAAGAAATTGATGGATATTAATATCCAAAAAGTGTTGGGAATAGATGTAGTTTTTTTTTCACATTCTTTCGTTGATTAAATTCCCTGTAGATCTCTAGTAATCATATTTCCTGGCGAAGGTCTATCTGCTTGGTTCTATTTGAACTAAACCACGTCATTTCTTTCTATAGTCGGGCTATGTTTGTAAAACACAAAAATGAGACTATGGACATGAACTCTAGGCCGTGGATGAATTTTGACTGGGTACATGAGCTAGTGCGTCAGCCTCTAAAAGTCTTGTTGGACCAACATAAGATTTTTATAACTTGATGAGGCTTGCCTTGATGGGATAAGGGTTGTCATTTAAAACTGTTTTACGTTAAACATGTATAAAAGCCCACCATCATTGTTCCTTGGCACGACTATTCACCTCATTAACATCCTACTACTTCCTCTCTTGAGCCCTAGCTAGTTGTCTGCATGGTCTAAATGGAGGCCAGATGGTTTTTTATAGTTGTCTGTGAGTCATAATTGTCACGAAGTATTGCATGATGGTTGCGAGTGAAGACCTGTTTGCTGTAGTTGAACTTAGCGAGTTCTTCTAAGATGTTGGCAACATTTTTTCATCAAGCTATGTGGGTCTCCATGGGCTTTCATGCTTTCTGATTGGGCTTTCAAACAGTTGACCTGGCCTATATTTATGAGGTTTAATTAGTTGAGCTTTTTGGTGAGGACAGATTAATAAATAATGCCTTATCTTTAAATTAAGGATATAGCATATACTTAATGGAGCAGATTCTACTGCCTGAAACATGATAAATTTAGTTGGAGATACTACAAAAACATGTGGTTCTGATGGGAAATAGATGCAATCAAATAATTTTCGTATGAAATAGAACCAATATTTTTTTAATTTATGCAATATAGCATTTTAGTCAATAAAGGTAGAGGTACATGTGGTGGGAAAGAAAGAATCAGACTGAAGAAGACTTGAATAAAGTGATGCAATGATCAAACCTTAAAAAAATGTCTGAAAGCTAAAAAGTTGTTCATACGATCCAACATAGAAATTGACACGATTTTTCAAAAAAATAAGGGCAAACCAATATTTTCCTTCAATAACGTCAAATCAAAACAATACAACACGATCAACTTACATGAATAGGAAAGATTAGCACCTACAATTCGAGTTGTAGGGGATCTTTCCCAAATCTTACGATTCGAGAGGTAGGAAATTTTTTTCAAAGTCAAAACCTAAGACTCCAAGATACAATTTTCATACATAACCCTAACCCTAAGCTATTAAGCCTTATTTATACGCAACAATAATAATAAAAAAAGACCAATTTGCCCTTAGACTAATAAATGACACAATTTTTCTTAAATTGGTAAGTAAAAATACTCTCCTCCCAAAAAAGCATCTTGTCCTTAAGGTGGGAAAAAGTGAGGGAGTTCCTCCACCACAACCGTTTATGTTTCTTCGTCTCCTGTCTCCTCATCACACATTGTGAGAA